GTTCATTCTCTTCAGAATTCTATTGAATTTCTTCCCAATTAAAACAATCGTATTTGAAAACCCTCGTCAGTATCCAGGTTAGCTTGACCCTCTTTATCTTCAACATTGGATACAAAATCATTTCTTTTGTTTTTCTTTTCAAATCTATCATTCTTGGTCAATTCAAAAGTTTAAAATGACCCCACTAGTTCATCAACTCTCATACTGCTGATGTTTTGGGTTTTTTCAATGGTTGTGTCCTTCGTGTCTAATTTTTTAGGAAGAGACCTAACAAGATTCCTCACTAACTTCTCTTCTGATATCTTTTCTCCCAAGGCACTAAAGGCATTAGCTATTTCAAGAACATTCATATGAAAGTCATGAATACTCTCATCTTCCCTCATCTTTAGATTTTTGAATTTGGTAGTGAGCAACTAAAGTCTAGACATCTTTACCTTAGATGTGCCTTCATGAGTTGTCTTGAGAATTTCCCAAGAATCCTTAGCCACGGTACAAGTGTTGATCAACTTAAACATGTTCTTGTTAACTCCATTGAATAAAGCATTCAAGACTTTGGAGTTTCCAAGAGCAGCCTCATATTCTTCCTTGGTTCAGTCCTCTTCAGGTTTCAAAAATATTTATCTTTCAACACAGGATGTTCCGAGCCCTTGATGACAACTTTCCAAGCTTTGCTATCCATGGATTTTATGAAAGCTACCATGTGTGATTTCCAATAGTCATAGTTGGTTCCATCCAAAATAGGTGGTATATTCACATTACCTCCTACTTCCTTCTCCATAGTGCAAAAAAAAAAACCTAGAGCTCACACAAAAGTAGAATAGGGTGACCTATTATAATGCCAATTGAAATTTTGGCACGCAGATACCAGATGTTGCGACTGATGTTACAACATTGAGATCAAAACAGCTTGATCACACAAACAAATATGCATAAACTTAAATGACAGAAAATTAAAATAACACCAGTAGTTGTTAACCCAGTTTGGTGTAACTCACCTATATGCGGGGGATACCAAGCCACGAAGGAAATTCACTATGATAATATTAGTTCGAAGCTAAACTCCCCCGTTTACAACTTCTCACCTAATCACTATCTTGTGCAACTTCTACCTATACACCGTCTAGATATGAGATCCCTCTCTCACTTCCTAATCAGTCTCAATCCCAATGACAATTCAATAACTATCCAAAATAAAAGTATCAACCCTTTCAAGTACAATACTTGGTTTTGCTTAAAAGCTTCAACCAAGAACAATACACTCTTGCTTAAAAGCTTTAGAGTGGACAATTAACAATGAAAAATTAGTCTACCTCAATGCATCAGAAGATACATGAGTGAGATACAAGCAAAAACATGATAAACACTAAAGAGACTCCAAGACACGGCTAATCCTAATTTTCTCCAAATCCACACTTTCTTTAGGTTTAGAGACTCCTTTAAATAAGCACCACAGCTGCATGGGGTTGGGCTCAAAAACTAAAACGCAAAATGCCAGGAATCGAGCTTTCAATCATTAGATACTTTTCTGCACATAAATAGGAACAATATACAAAGTTTCCTAAAAAGGCTCAAGGATCCTTTTTTACGAAAACCAACACAATGTCTTAAAATAGAAGTTCGCACAATATCCCTCCTTGGATAAAGCAAATGTGTGAATTAGAATACTAAAAATACCAAAACAGACATGCCCTAACTTTCTGGTATAACATGTCCTGGCACATGTCACAACATCATACTGAACATGATGTCTGACTAATATGACAAAACATTTAGGTTAACATCTTGATGGCAGCATGTTTGACCAAAATGTTGTCAATACAAAAACCACAGAACTTACAATGTACGTTATGGTTTTTACGAGGCCAAACATAGCGTACGGAATGAGCCTTATAAGTAGGTATTTGGCCAATCCTAGAAAGGTTGTATGGATTCCAAAAAATTTATTTATGGATATGTGTTCACTATGTTTCGCACAACAATCAGTTGAAAAACTACATTTCATAAGGTTGTTACCTTGTCAAACACTAAAGCAGAGTATATCACCCTTACAAAAGTTGTGAAAGAAGCATTGTGGCTTGAAGGTTTTGTTAAGGAGATAAAACTCCAAGGTCGGGTTATCGCTGTTAAATGTGATAGTCAAAATGCAATACACTTGTCGAAGAATTCATCCTATCATGAACGAACCAAACACATCGATGTGAGATTGCACTTTGTCAGAGAGATAATCGAGTGTGGAAAAGTTCAAGTGCTGAAGGTTTTGACTGATGACAATGTTGTTGATATGATCACCAAGATATTATCAAGTAGCAAGTTTTTCTACTGTATGCAGTTGATAAAGCTGCATGGTGAAAGTTAGTTTGTTCCCTTGTTATAGAGTTTGTTCCAAGGTAAAGATTTATGGTATTTGAATTGAACTGTAGTATCAATAAGGGTAGTTGTATGGTTCGACAAGAGTTATGTATGTTGTAGTTGAAGTCTGTTCGAGCATATTGTCGAAATATTTTAACTTTCAATTTAAGTTAGTATGTCGAATTGGACTATGCCCCCACTAATACTCTACACATGTATTAATATTGATGTATACTTGATTTTTTCCCCTTTAGATATTGAATGGACAATCACAATTTAAGACATAAATTAACACTACATTCTATAAAATATACTAATTGATAAAATATAATTGATTTAGTTTTTTAATATGTAATTATTGCTTTGAAATACATGTTAATCTATTATTGACTATTATCTCCGTTTTTTTTAATAAAAGATAAATCACTTTTTAGGTTCATTGAATAACTAATATATTTAGTCTGTAAACTAACCAAATACATTAATTATTAAATGAACCTAAAAAATAATTTATCTTCTTATATATATGAACGAATATAGTAATATACAATTGAGTTCAATAATGACATAGTAATATTTGATGTTATGAAACTGATATTAAATTTTGTATTTATAATTCCCGTTTAATTCTCCAAAGTAAAAATTTACTAGTTAAATATATTTTAAACAAGATAATTGTTAGTTATAAATTCTAAAGTCAGATTTAAACCTTAATTATGTGCTGTATTTTTTTAAAATAATTACTGTCATTAATTCTAGGGATTAAAAGCTATTATAATAACCATATATTTATTTAAAATAATACATACGTTACATATAAAGTAATATATTCTACTTGAATATAATTTAATTAGTATATATATTACTAAATAACATTAAAAAACATTATATAAAATAATCAATTACCTCTCCTACAAAATAAATATTACGAATATTTTATAATTCTTAGAATAAATTACATTTTGATTCTCAATTTTATCTAATTTACAAAATTAATTCCCATATTTTAATTTTAAACACCCCCTCACAAAATCGATGAATTATTCATTTTTTAATTTATATTTTTATCTATAAAGCTTGACAATAGATTTATATACAAAATTTGTCATTTTTTTTACAAAAAATTTATCATTTAAATAATGAAAACATCATAAATTTTAAATGCAAAAAAAATAAATCAAAACTATTTAAATTTAAAATAATAAAGTCAATTTTATAAATAGGACAAATATATATATATATATATATATATATATATATATATATATATATATATATATATATATATATATATATATATATATATATATATATATATATATATATATATATATATATATATATATATATATATATATATATATATATATATATATATATATATATATATATATATATATATATATATATATATATATATATATATATATATATATATATATATATATATATATATATATATATATATATATATATATATATATATATATATATATATATATATATATATATATTTTGGATCTGTCCCTGTAATCACCTCTTCATAATTGATAAGGATTCTTATATTATCTTTGACAGTTGTTTTATGTTTACTAAAAATTATAATTTATTTAGGAAAATATGAAATAATAATTCTTTTTTATAAAAGTGACAATTATATTCAATCTAATTAAATATATCAACAATAAAGATATTATTGAAAAGAGAAACCTATTACTGGTATTTTCATGCTATTAATATTATAATTTACATATTGCATTGCATTTTGAAAAGAAACCACTTTACATGTAAGCATTTAGAAACAAGATAAGAAATGACACAGATAATATTTGTTATAAATTTTTTAATAAGTATGATAATATTAAATTTTTAAATGTTTATCATAAAATAAATACAAAAATTTATAGAATTTAAACTAATTTTTACATTTTTTCCACATATTATATTTTAAAATAGTTTTCACTCTTTTGCCGCTCAATATAATTATTTTACCATTTTTAAAAAAGAAAAAAATGTTGATGTTAGGTATTGTTTTGATATTCAAAAGCAAGTATCTTCTTTCTAGAAAAAATTTCATTTTGTAATCCTAAATAATTAATTTAAAGTTATAATATTTAATGTTTGATATTTATTGTATTGGCTTTTCAACATAAGAAAAAATCACAGAAAAAGTACAGAAAAAATACTCCAACCATATAAAAAATATCAAATTTAATTGCGAGAACAATTTAACTAATACCATTCTAAAGAATATATTGAAATCTTGGTTATTTCTGTCTATAATGACGTAATATAAACATATTTGTTGCAAGTTCATGAATTATCAAAGTACAGTTTATCCAATAGGTGTCGGATAAGTTAAGATATATACAAAATGGTAAAAGAGAGCAATATTTTTCAATAAATTTCCTACCTTTAAAAAAGTAAAAAGATATTTGAAGTGAATCTCTTAATAAATATTTTTATTTAACAAAAAGTTAGAACATATGAAAAAGAATCCGGTTCAGATTTTAGGCCAAATCCAAATTCTAGAAAATTTATTCACCTAAAATTTGCCTATAAATTGAGCTCTTCACACTCGATTATAATGTGTCATTTTCTAGTTTGAAGTTCCCATTTTATTTTCTCTTCTCTCTTTCGGAATTTCAACCATGTCAATGGGAAAGAAAAGCCGTGGTCGCCAAAAGATTGAGATGAAAAAGATGAGCAATGAGAGTAACCTGCAAGTGACTTTTTCGAAGCGTCGCAGTGGACTCTTCAAAAAAGCTGGTGAACTTTGCACACTTTGTGATGCGAATGTTGCTCTTGTTATATTCTCACCTGGTGAGAAGGTGTTTTCCTTTGGTCACCCACATGTTGATACGGTCATAGATCGTTATCTGTCACAGATTTTACCTCAAAACAATGGCACAGTGCAATTCATTGAGACTCATCGTGGTGCTATTTTGCGTGAGCTCAGTATTCAGCTAACTCAAATCAACAATATGTTGGATATTGAGAAAAAATTTGGTGATGAGCTGAACCAATTGCGCAAGGCATCTGAAACTAAGTTTTGCTGGGTTTGTTCCATTGAAAGTATGAATAAGGTTCAACTTGAATTATTCAAAAAGGTTTTGGAGGAAGTTAAGAATCTTGTTGCACAACATGCTAGGTTTGTTATTCAGGGTGCACCTGTCCAAACAATTCAACCACAACTTTTTCAAAATCCTATGATGCAGCCTCATTTGTTTGATTTCAACAATATGGGTGGAAGTGGCGGATATGGACCCTCTAGATTCATTTGATCCGATGGCTCAAATCTATCTTATGATGCCCTAATGAATATTTATTTTTCATGTTGTGTTAATCATTTTCATTTATAAGCACACAGACTTAACTAGTTTCATTTATGGAACTTGATTAGGACTGAATCTCATTGTTATTTTAATTTTTAGTTTTATGTTGTATTATGTATTGTTCAAATTGTTGAAATAAAGGGCATCTATTTATTTATATTTCACTATCTCCCAAAAATTTTATTAATATTTTAAAGTTGAATGAATCTATTTTATTCTTCATCGTTGTTAATCGAGTGTAAGAGAAAAGGTGGACGAAAGAATAACGATTAAGATTTGTGATAAATTCATTAAAAGTTGTTGTATAATTTACATTAGATTTTAATATTATAATAATCTAAGGAAGAGCCTATTTTATTGTGAAGGAATTCACCTTATATATGCAAATTTCATTGTAAATTTATATGTGATGAACGGTTTTCTCTATATTGTACGAAGTGTATCTATGCCAACAGTGATTTGAATGTGATTAATTTGGACGATATTGCTTTGTTGAATTAATTTGTTAGCTCCTTGTATTTTTTTGCGTTAGTTATCTCTTTTATTTATAGAATTATTTGTCTTTAAAGATATAATAGATTGTCGTGAGGAGTGATAAACAAATAAACCAATGTGATATATATATATATATATATATATATGTATATATATATATATATATATATATATATATATATATATATATATATATATATATATATATATATATATATATATATATCATGAAATATTAGATAATTTAATTTTTATATAATATTGTTTTTCAATTTTAAAATTTAATTTTATTATTGATATAATAATAGATGTACTCAAAAAAATGGAAATTATTGAAAAAATTAATAATAATAATAATAATAATAATAATAAGAATAATAATAATAATAATAATAATAATAATAATAATAATAATAATAATATAAAAAATTTTATTCAATTTTATTAAAATATGTCAACCAAATAAATATAAAATGTTTTTTATGTGAAAAAATGGGTAACACAGTTTTTTTCTATACAATATTATAAAAGTAATTAATGAATATTTAAATTTGGGAGAACCTTAACTAAAAAAAGTTATATACACCCATTATATAAATATATTTTATATTATGACTTGCTTATTACCTAATATTATGAGTGATTATGGACAATTTAACACTATTTACCCAAATTGTGGATAGAAACTAACCTTTAAGTATAGATTGTTTTAAAGTTGCCATATATTTTTTGAAATGGAAATTAGGTTTTGTGAATTTTTGTTATGTATAAAAAATGGATGTTGATGTATGATCATCTTGTTGTTTTGCATGTCTATTTGTGTTAAACTACGTTAATTGCATGTCTATTTGTTTTGCATGTCTATTTGTGTTAAACTACATTAATTGGTGTTATTGGATGCAATGATACATGATTAATGTATGACCTATTTTCCGTTCCTGTTACTTTGCTTCATTGACATAAGTTATTCTTTTATACTCTCTAGGCGATGAGATGTCTTGCTAAGTGAGACATCAAATTTTGAGGAAAATGTTATTCTGTTTGACCTCGCTTGAGCCTCGATGGAAACTCATTGGACGAAAGCTCGCTTGGACGTCTCGCTAGGTGAGAGTTCTAAGAGATTGAGAAATTATTGTTTTCCTATTTCCACCATTAAATGATATTTGTAGCTCCAATTGATGTGAGGTCGGACACATTGGAAAGCTAGTTTAATGATCTGCCTTTTAGTATAGAGAAATCATGTTTATGTTTCAATTATTACTTGAATAATGGTAATGAACTAATATGTGTGTTTCAAATATCATATTATGATGTATATGTATTAAATGAATAATGAATGAAGCAAGTTCCATAATGATGAGTGAAAGTAAACCTATAGTTATAGCTACGTGAATAAAATTATTAAGATGACTTAGATTACGGTAATTAAATTATGTTGTGATACTTGAATGTAAGAGGTACTTCGATGTGTACCCATGAGAGTGTAGTCACATTAGATAAGTCATCCCATCTACGAGTATGCAGAAGGCATCACTACTACGGAAAACATATACAAAAATGGTTGGAAAAAGGATAACATCACACTTGACATGTCGTTGTTACGTAGGGTGTGGTTGTATATGCGCTACTTATAATCATGGTCTTATGAACGTTGTAGAAAACCTGAAAGCACACGATATATTATCACGGTTGATAACCTAACCGTTGTAATATATTAAAGGTCTCAGGTTCACTTCTCAGCGCACTTTACATATATAACCATGGTCTTCTATGACAATCGTGGTTATGTTATATATTACTACCTCTGTTCCTTTAATAAGAGACAACTCACTTTTTAGGTTCATTGAATAATCAATGTATTTGGTAAGTTTTTAGACTAAATACATTGATTATTTAATGAACCTAAAATGTAAGTTGTCTCTTATAAAAAGGAACAGAGGTAGTATTACAATATAACCACAGAACATAAACAACAACTGAAGATATATTTTTGCATTGTACATGTTCCATTTTATAACCTGTATTGTTTAAACTGTAACAGAACAACAATAATTGAAGATATATATTACTCAAACTCAAATACTTATTTATTTCATCAAATCAAAAATGTTATTTACAATACTCAAACTCAAATCTACATCAAACATGTGTGTGTGTCTATATATATATATATATATATATATATATATATATATATATATATATATATATATATATATATATATATATATATATTAATATATTACAGATGAATATCATGTTTGAGGACCTTTAAGCGCATTGAACATATACGCCCAATTGTACAAATGTCTACAAAGTCTTCGCATGAGAATGATGTTTCATCGTTAAATGTCTGCATAAAATATATCAAATTAAGCTCATTATTAATGACCCATAAGCACATTGTAAATAATTCATTACATATATAATATATACCTGATCCCATTTATCAAAAATGTCGGCGAAGACAATGTTTAACATGTGTTTCATTATATAATAACCACAATCGAATCCCTTTGGTTGTTTCCTCGTCTACAAAAATAAACATTAATTTCATGAATGTTATAAACACACGTGCATGTAACAATATATATAAATGAATTTCACAAATAATATAGGTACTTACATTAGGGAAGATAAATATTAGATTTTTTCTAATATTATTCAACATATTGTGTCGATGCACAACATTGTGCATTGAAAATGTTTTACAAGTTTAACCAATTAAACAAATTACAAAGTCAAAGAAAATATGTATTACTAAAACGTTTCATATAAACATAAACTTACTCATTAATAATTTGCTTCATTTTATGTTCGAGTGGTTTATGTAAGGAACACAATATCGTTATTGTGTTCGTCTTAAGCGATATGATGATCAATTTCCAATAATCACTGAATAAACACGAACATATATATAATAAGTATTTTCTAAAAGAAAACTAACTATAAAAGATAAACCACAATTTCAAAATTACTTACGCATTGAAAAATTATGCAAAGTAACATTATTTTTCCCCTTGACTTAATCGTTCTGAAATGTAGGACTAAGAGTGTGTTTGATTTGTTAAAAAATGAGGGACTGGACAAGACAATTTTTTGTGTACCTTGTTTGATACAAAAATTTATCATGAGACAGGACAAAATATATGGTAAGGGACAGGACAAACATGAATTCTTGTCACTCACTAAATCATGTACAACTTTTTGTCCTTAAGACAAATTATCAAAAAAATCAAAATACAAATTTTAATCTTTCTTCATTTAATATTTTTTTATAAATATAATATTAATATTTTATTTATTGATAAAAAATATTATAATATAATTATATTATTTTTGTCTGATGTATAGACATATCAAATAAAGTTTAGTAAAAAAAATTTCTCCTTCTCATTATTTAATATTTTGATTCATGAATATCAATATTTTATATATTAATAAAAATATTAGAATAAAAATTATATTATTTAGTGCATAGATATATTAAACAAAATAGAAAAAAAAGTTGTACAATGCATCGACCATCAAACAGAGTACAAAAAAAATTATCTTGTACTGTTCTGTCCAATACTTCCGATTTTACAAATCAAACGCAGCCTAAATCTCTTTTGACTTAGTATTTGTCCATCGAATATTATACGAATCCAAGATGCCATAAATATTTGATTTATTTAACTCTATACATATATGATTAATGTACCTAAATGGTTAAACAAAATTCAAAAAATAAGTAAGGAAATACAAAAATGATACTATAGATAAAAATGATAATGTACCTAAATGATAATATACTTACGTGCACCAAACTTGCAATATCCCTACGTCCAGTATATTGTTTTCATAGAAAAAATCTTGTATGTCACTAGGATAAGAATAGAATAGCTCTACCGATGGACAATGCTCTAGAGGGAAAGAATGCGGGACATTGCATTCCGCAACCAAAACATATAACATGGTGATTTCATTTGAGAAAGGATCCAGTAACTCATTGACCTCTTTAGCAGGGGTGGTTGAGCAATTGCTTCCTTTAGTACTAGCATGATGTACAACATGTGTTTGGGGAACTTGATCATCAACATTATCATCGTTTTCACCCCTACGTTGTGGTAAGGATCCACTTATTCTCTGTGACATAACATTCATTTTGAACACAATACATAATAAACACATTTCTATATTTTCTAAAATTTTAGATTAAACATAATATATCCTATATTTCATATAAAACACTAGCATTTCAGATAAAACACTTACTGCATATAGTTCTTCTAACTTTTCTATGTCTTTCTTCCGATTTTCCCGCTCGACTTCTAACATCTTCCTCTGTTCTTCTAACTCCTTCTCAAAAACCACAATCTTTTTTCTTTGCTCTTATAATTTGGTGTTTTCGATGCTTTTTGGGTTGGACCAAAGAATAATCTCAGGTCGATGCCTTCACCAACACCACAAAC